TGGTGGAATTTTCACAAGGAAGGTGGAGAAGGTTGACCCAGCATCCCCTAGACTGAGACTCACCGATGCTCCATTTGAAGGCACAGTTGCTAAGTTCCTTGTGGATGCTCTGTGCCCCCAGCTTTGAGGGATGTTATGGATAAGTGAGATCTAGGCTCCTCATGGGAGTGGAATGTCCCACAGAGTTCATTTCTGCAGCAGAACCTGGAAGTATTCAAGGCCATGTTGGATGGAGCTTAGAGCAGCCTGGTCTAGTTGAAGGTGTCCTTGCCCTTGGCAGGTGGGTGCAACTGGACGATCTTTAAGGTTCTTTCCAAACCAAACCATTCTGTGATTCTCTGCTCTTAATTTGTCCCTTATAATGGCAGTTGCAAATTAACTGCAGGCCAGTTAATAGCAAAGCTGATCATGAGATACTTCCAAGGCTTAACATTATATTCCTGCACCTGATCTTGGCACAGACATGAAATCCTGCCTGCGCAGAAGAAAGGGTGGAGAGAAACTTCCTGTCTGCCAAATGCAGTGTAGAATAATTTCATTCAAGCACCAGAAGAATAAAGGGGATGGAGATGGTTTGACTTTGGCCATGGGACCTGTCTTCATTCTCGACCTCTTGCCTGAGTGCCTGCAAGTCCATATTAGTTGTTAATTGTTGGGTGGTCCTGGCCATGTCCACCAAGTATCAGACTGTGCACAAAAGTAGGATTACTTTTCTCCTCTACAAGGAGTTTATCATGTCCTGGAGGGTTTGTCCCATGACATAGTTGCCAGGGATTGAGGGCAAGCATGGCTTCAAAGGCAAGAACCAGCATGTCCACAGCACCCAGTCCTTGAGTCCAGAGATGGGATCTCAGTCATACAGGGTGCTCTGCCTCATGGGGTAAATGTCTCAAGTGCCACTGGAGAAGTATAAAATCACAGAATTGTTTAGGTGGGAGAAAGCCTCTAAGATCATTGAGTCCAACCATTCCCACAGCACTGCCAAGGCCACCACTAACCCATATCCTTAAGTGCCACATCCACACAGCTTTTAAATCCCTCCAGGCGTGGTGACTCCATCACTGCACTGGACAGTCTGTGCCAGGGCTTGACAACTCTTTCCATGAAGAAAGCTTTCCTTAATATCCGATCTAAACCTCCTCTGGCACAACTTGAGGCCATTTCCTCTTGTCCTGTCACTTGTTGCCTGGGAGAAGACACCAACCCCCACCTTGATGTAACCTCCTTTCAGGTAGTTGTAGAAAGCAAGAAGATCCCCCCCTGAGCCTTCTTTACTCCAGGCTGAGCACTCCCAGCTCTCTCAGCTGCTCCTCATTGGATCAGAGTTCTGATGCAACTCCCTAAGTCTCAATGTTTGTGAGAACTGCCTAACCAAATCTCCATGCAGCCACCAGGAGAATGTAACCCTGCATTGTCCTCTGGCTCTCCACGTGCCAGACAAATGGTGGGGGCTCTCAGAGGACTTGTCTCGCTCAGGGGGATATGGGCAGGGCTGACAGGACAGAGCAACTGTGTTTTAGACCACAGCTGTCCATGTGTCTGGAGTTATTTTCCCCAGCCTTGTGCCTTCCAGCCCCTTTCCTTGGGAGCAACTGATGTAGTAAAAACTTGCAGGAATCCTGTATTTCTGAGCGTGTAGTCTGGTAATCACTGAGACAGCTGAAGCCTTAGTTTTGTTTGCGCAGGCTTCACCAGCACAACAGACATTTGTCAGATCTAAATTCTGTTGAAAGGTATCCCATTTATTTAATCAAATAAAAAAACTAGTGGAGAAACAATAGCAGAAGCAATACCATCCTATTTCCAGCTTGGTAACCCTGTTTGTCTCCCCTCGGGTTTTAGTACTTCTGCAGTTTCTTTGTGACTCTGAATGTCTCTTTAGTTTCCATGGTGACCTATGGCCAAGTCCCTGGTCTCACTGGAGTCAGGGGTAGTTTTGAAGTGAATTTGACTTTTGAAGTGAAAACAGTTATTTAATGTCAAATGGAGTCAGAAAATAAGACACCAGTGCACTGTCTAGATAGTTTTTCTTGTAGCTGGTGGGGTCCCCTGCAAGGCACTGTGTCCTTGCTGCTAAGGATGAGCAATGAGTGCCAGGGGAAGGATTTCCCAGCAACTGCAATATTTTTCTGGGGTGAATTCTTGCTTTTCTTGGAGATGTTGATGTGTGGTTCAAGCTTCAGCTGTTCCTCCCTTCAGCATCTCAGACTTAAAAACCTGGGTTGGGAGGTGCCTTTGGGTTCCTCCATGGTCTGATTCCCTAAGCTTGGTACATCACCCCAAGCCACTGTCTTGGTATATAAACCTCAAAGTGCCGTCTCCAGCTGCCCACCCTTCTGCCCTTCAACAAGCACAGGTTGTTCCCCTCAACAACCCACAGTGGATATGTGGTGGGGTACCCCTGTCCTCATCTTGACCATTCCTGGGGCTCTCTATGTCCCCAGAACCTTGGTCACACCTGAGAGCAAGGATCGGTCATACCAACCTCTCAGGCTTTGTGATGCTTGCAATCAAAAAAGCTTTAAGATCTGAGCCCCGTTCTCCCTGATTTGGCTCTTCTTCCCTTAAGATCCCATTTCTTCTTGGCTTTTCTTCTTTGCTGGAGTGTTGGAAAGATAGAAGTACACAAGTCTTTGCCTGAATGCTGGATGATCAGCTAGACCACTGTCTGCTGCCAAATCACAGATATTGCTCCTTGTTTGTCATTCTCCCTCCTTTGTCTTTTACGTCTTTCAATATTTTTCCCCTAACTTGTTTAACTCTCATGTTTTCTGTGCTGTGGTCAATGACTGCAGAGTTTTGGTCCGTATTTGGCCTGCCCCTTGCCATGTGGATATCACTTTTTAGGTGTCCTGTACAGAGCTGCATGTCCTCCCCCATCCTATTGCAGCAGCGCTAAACTGAACAATTTTAGACATTCCATATTGGTTTAACTGTTTTGGTTTTTTACTCTTAAACCTTTTTTTTCAGTCGAAGTCCTTAAACACAGAGGGTTTGGTTCATAATATGTCTTTAGAAAAAAACTGTCTCTGCATACATTTCTTGCAAGAATTTACCGCAAAGTTTGATTCCCCGCTCATTTCCAGGTATTTTCCCTTACTTCTAGAGAACTTAAAGCTGTGTCTGTGTGCAATTTTTATAATTTCTCTACAGTATTTTCAAATTAAATAGAGTAGCAGGCTGTCTGACTTATAACTCAAGACTGGAAGTGCACCCAAACAGTTAAACTCAGATGTTTGAGAGAAGAGCAAAACCACAGAAAGCGGAACTCTTGCACACTTAAGCCTGTGAGGGCTTAGTACCAGATAAGGATTTTAACTAACTTTTATTTTGACATTCCCCTTTTAATAAGAGTTGCTCTTTACAAAGTGGTTTATGTGATTACATTACTGAGAGGAAACAAAGAAACGCCAGGAAAACTTGATGTGGAGAATCTGTACTCATAAAATGCTTGTAAGCTCCAGCAAACAGGAAAGCTTTTCCCATCTCCTTTTTTTATTTCATTCCCTGTCATTCATCTTGGCAGGGGGGGCAAGGGGGGGAGGAACACACAACCAAAAAAACAACCAGAAACCACACATTGAATATCTCAGAAAACCGCATCTGGTGGTCTGAGACTAAACACAAATTCCTTCAACAGCCAAAAACAAGCCTCTTCATCCTGCATTCGCCAAACATGAGCCCGCACTCTTTTTGGTTAAAAGCCAGTTGGCCTCAGAATAGATGTTTTAACTCCTGGGGATGCCAAGGAATACAGATTCCATGGGCAAATGGCTTTGGCAGGCAGGGTTGGAGACTGTTTAGCCGCTGACCATTGAAATGTATTTGTGAATGGCTGCTTCCTTCATCTAAGCGCCCTTAGCCAAGCGGTGCTGATGGTGAAAATAAAATTAATTGCTATGGGGCAGATTTAAAATAAATGCTGTTATTTATCCAAGTGGAAGTGGGGGGTTGGGATAAGGGATGAGGCTGAGCAGGGCGTGTATCATGGCTACAAAACTAGTTCAGATGCAGACCGCTGTGGTCATCACAGCACTCAGAGTTGTTTCCCTGTTTCAGGGGATAATACTGGGGAGATGTACTGTGCAACCCTCCAGCACTGCTCCCAGCAGCCTTGTAAGGAGACAGGCATTTAAACATCCTACATGCTCTCAGAGCCTAGACCAAGATTTAAAGAAGCAACAGACAGGGAGGGAGGTGCTGGTGTTCTTAAGGTAACTCTGCACTCTCCCAAGTGAAGGTAGCCACTGCCAGGACCATCTTCATCTTAGCTGTTGAATTTCCATGTTACCTGTTTGGAACTCTGTGCACATAGCCCTTTATCCAGAGGTCATGGTCCTGGCTCCCCATGCTGCTAGATGCAAGCATGGTCCTCAGCTTCTTCATCCATGCATGTGTCCTGTCCCAGTGTAGCAATGATGAAGGACATTCATAAAGAAAAGCCGAACAAAACTATTTGGTGTGGGCAAATTACCAGTTTACACGGTAATTTTCTTTTTAGTTTATATTTTTTCCACTTTAAAGTTCCTGATACCCTTAAGATGGTTCACTGCAAACCCATACAGCAGTGTGCTATGTTGACAGGCAAGAGGAGCAAATGATGCTGCAAGCCAGGTGTCTGATACCTGTCTGAGCTCCTTAAATCTTCAGAAGAAAAGTATCTCCTGATATTTCTTTCCTATCTGACATCCTGCTACCAAGCTGGGACTAAGCAGGTTTCTCCTGGTTGGTGCAGAAACATGGGAGAGTTTTTTGTGGAAACCAAAGTCATGTTACCTAACGTCATAAAAACTTTTAGCTGATATGTGCCTGTTACTGAAAGAGATTTAGATATGTGAGTTGGTACTAGGTTGTTAGACACCAAGAAATTGGCTCCCCTTTTGTGGTACAGAGACACACCAAGCCTGCCACCAAGGGCAAGGCTGTTTAGTGGGACAGATGTGTTGACCAAACAGAACCATGGAGGAATGGGTGAACTAAAGACTCCTTTGACTTTGTAGGCGACAGCAGAGACTTCCCAGTGGGAACAAGTCTCAGCAGCACACGGATCATCAGCAAGGTGGCACCAAACATAACAGGGACCACCAGAAACTCTACCAAGGAGGCCAGGCCCCTCACTCCTCAGGCAGGACAGGTCACCACGGCTACAGCCAGAACCGGAGATGGCACCACAACCAGAAACACTCGCCCAACGACAAAGAAACGCACAGAAACGCCAAAGAGACTGAGAATTTGAAAATCGAGGACACCTCCGTCTGCACGGTGCATATTCCTGTGGAGACACCCCGAGGCCCAGAGGCTGTGGAGAAGCAATCTCAGCATTACATCCAGGAGTCAGAGACTAAGCGGAAAGACAGTATTCACGAGCGCATCGGGGAAAGACCCAAGATCAATTTGCTTCA